GTATGTTTGGTTATAAGGGGAACCATCGTACCACGCCCCAGTGTGGACGGGTGACCGACGTCATAACGACCGGAGCGCAAGCGAAGGTACGGGTCATAAATGATCCGGAGGAGAACGGAGGATCATTGTCGTAAGCACCGAGAGGGAGCCGTATGGTGAACGGAAGGTGAGTGGTGGGACGTGTCGTGAGGGCCCCGCCCAAGCTTGTCACTTGCAGGTTGTGTGGCAACCTCCACTCGGGGAGTATAAGAACGGGAGTTCGCCCACTTTGCAAACCAGTGATGGTTTCCTCCTTTTCTTTTCTTTGCCGGCAGCAAAAACTGTGATCTTGTCGTGAGACAATACAGAGTCAATCTGGTGTCATAGAGACACGGATCCAACCTTGCACACTTGTTTGCACAGAAGCAAACACACATTCCCCCACCTTTTCAACACCAAGCGGTGTGAAGTGAAACCTTGGAAGAAAGAGAGTCGGAGCGACGATTTGATACTGACAATCAATCCGTGGTAGGGATTGGGTTTTTGTGTTGTGCACAATGTCCGGGACGGAAACTCCACCAAGGGCGCTTGGCGACCCTCACCAGGAAAACGTCAAGTTTGTCATGGGATCCGACACCGAGATGGTCTCGATGCCAGTGCATTGGAAAATGCTTTGTGAGCATCCGGACATTCTCCGACGGGAACTTGGTTTGTCCTCGGAGAGCTTACAGGTCGGGGACGACATGACCCGGTCTTTTGACACCCTCGACTGCGAGGCTTCGCTTGTCCTGGCACCCGTCTTGAGACGATTGGACTCCGCCGTGAGCGCCATTTCAAATGATGTGGTACGTCAACCTGGAAGGATGCCTAGGGCTTCTGCAGCATCTGTTGTGCTCGAGCGAGACAGTTTGGAACGTCGTGTCGACACCTATCGTCGATGGTCCAGGCTTTTCCGTCAGCTGGGCGGTGACGGCTGGTCTGAAACCGATTTTGGCCGTTGCTGGGACACGGCTTTGGCTGATCTGTCGGAGAGTATGTGGTTGTCCGGTGTGACGACCCCTCGTTCATGTCTTGCCTCTCTGGGAATGCAGTGCTTGTGCTGTTCTGCCTTCACTCCTGCCCAGGTGCAGGCCTTGCGTTGCGTGTATCCACACTTGACATTGTTGATGATAACCGTCATGGTGCGACCGGGAGACGCTGTAGAGCGGGCCGTGTTGCGACTGGAACGTTTGTGGAAGAGAGTCCGTCACTATCTGAAGACGGGAGAGGACGACCCTAGCCTGGCTGAACCACCCGCAAACGTAATGTAGATAGTTTCCTAATTGGGACATCGTGATGACTTCACTTGTACAAAGTGCTTGGCTATAGATTGTGTGACAAAAAGTAATGTGATGTAGTGCCCAGTGAGTAGGCTGTCTTTGCCCGGCTACCAATCCTCACCTAGCCCCCGGCAGGGATGGTCATGACTATGGAAAGCCACCGGCAGGGTTGCGACATGGTGAGTGCCGTCAGGCACGAAGCCATGTTGTTCAAGGGAACAACAAAAGTAGGAGTGAGTGGTGTAACCACGAACGGACACACAATAGACAATGCAAAAGCAGAGGGGGCTTTTGAACAAAGTGAGCGGCCAGCGAACGATGTGAACACCATCAAACGGGAGTGAGTGATGGACCAATAGAGTCGTGGGACGACTCGACAAACAGTGCGGGCCGAACGAAGTGAGGTTACGCACGGTGTAGACCCCGTTCCCCTTAGGCAACTGTCCCAGTGCGAGGCATCTGGGGCGGTTGCTCTGTATGTTTGGTTATAAGGGGAACCATCGTACCACG